TATGTGATGTGTGGCACACTGAGCAACGAAGTACACTGCACCAGGATAACGCCGATCCAAGGTTCTGCTTCGAGTATGGACGATGCGGGAAAGCGGGTTCTGGAAACCAGTGCTACGGTTGTCGATCTGACCCTCAAAGAAACGCTTTGCCTCAATTTTTCGGTAACGCATCAAGAAGTTTTTCCTTTGCAGTAATAAATTTTCCATCGCTGCTGCAGCTCAAAAATGCGTAGAAATTGACAAAAATTCAGGATGCAACATCAGCGCAACTCCACACCATTGAATATGTGCGAATGGAGCAACAGTTTCCAGTGTCTGCATCCTATCAGTTCGGCATTCCACTGATTACAACTTCGTGCATCTGCGACTGCGCCGGCGCTGAGCAGTACTGCAATATGGATGATTATAAATACAAGTGAATACTTTGAAAATACAGAGGGGATTTTGACTTTTAATTATTTTTTAAACGTTTTAAATGACTCTTCCATAAAGCGCAGGGTAAAGAAGCGAATTTAGGTAACAAACTGGAAAATTTTCTGAATTCAGCGTGTCGCGTCCTCGGAATGCCTTCCATAGGCAATTTTCACAAGCCTCATTAGTGAAAGTGTTGTTTGCGAGCAGCAAATGAATGCTCCCGTACTGATTTTTGAAATCCAAAAAGCAAGCACTCGATGCGCCTTTAGTGATTATGAAATGGAGCGACTGTTAAAAGCACAAGAAGACGAAAATGGAGGATGACCAAGAGGAGGGCGAAAAGGAGAAAAACTGTGGAGGTTGATAGCATAAAAAAAGAAATAGGCTACAAGTAATATCGAAGAAGTGAATGATTTTCACACAAAGTACAAAGTTTGGAATATTTAGCGAAAGAAAACAGCTACTTATACTAGTATCAAAAAAGGTAGCGCACATGCATCGAGTTGGCGGTCTGTACTATTTGGATTTATGCATTCAAGAACTAAAGGGCCTGGCATAGCTGTGTCCGGCGTAAAAGAGCATCCATGTAAATTAAAGTAAGACATCTGCCAATACGAAAGGCTTTTAATATTCTTGGTATTAATGGTATTAATGATATTAATAATAATTAATTCACTGTGCTTGATTTTCAAAGACACTCTGAGAATGGTACTTATACTAGGAACTGTACCAAAGGCGCGCTTTGCTATCGGACCTACCATGCACACCAGTCGAGTTCCGGATGCCTGATGTCATCAAAGAGCGAAGTTTGCTGCGAAATAGCGATCGAACCTTATGGCGTACGTGTTTCCTTTTCTTTTTTTCTAACAAATTTGAAGCAGTTCTTGAGTACATTTTTCAACGATAAAATTATCATGATAAAAACGTGCAAATGTCGTGCAGCGGGTCTCCAATCACTAAAGTGGTCGAAAACTGCCCCCTCACTATTTGCTTAAAAATTATGTTCCAAAAACCAGACACTATTATATAGATGAGTTCGTTACAGGGCAAAAGTTATACAGCGGTGAAACTGAACCAGCCAGATACAATCATCGTTTTGAGGCACCGTATCTACGAGCGAGCATCGAGTCGATGGAGCGAAGCAGCTTCCGAAGAATTCGAAGCAGTTGTCAATAAAGGCTCCGCGAAAATGGAAACCATTGATAAAAGAAAGGTCGGATCCATGAAACCATTGTGCATCCTGGAATTGACATGCTGGTTCCACGGTGTTTAGGAAAGCTATTAATAAAGGCAGTTGC